CCATTGACCATATAAGTCTCATATAGGTCCGTGACCCTGCAAGCCCAACATCGGGATGTCAACAAGGCATCTCAGTCTCAGTCATGACTCCAAGGAAGCACCCAAAACTATAATAAAATCCTTGCTGGGCTACCCTCCACCAAAACAAAAAGACTATCACCAATTTGACCTGCCCGGCCGGGCCTTTTGGGGATTGCCTTGGCCATAGCCCATCGCCATTGCCTCGGCCTTCGACCCCTCCGCCTCTCGCCTGACGAAGTCCGGGCGTGATGCAGCTGTAGGGTTGACCAAATGGTCCCCAAGTTACTGTCACCAATATGAGTCACATCCATTCCATTCCATTAGTCACGTCCTTCACCAGGTGTTCTTTGAGCCCTATTAGTCACGTCAGGTGAATGGAAAGCTGCTATATCTGCAGTGTGAGTATTTGTCTTTTTTCTGCGACCGGGGTCACATCAGGGTCACATCAGGTTCCTGTTTTTCGGTAGCTGGTGCAGCTCCGCGTGCTCCGCCTCGCTTTGCCCTCCCAACTGCTCAGCGAGGTGTCATGGAGCCGTGCGAGGATGAGCCTCACCGCAGCGGAGGCCAAAGGTTGAAGAACCTCATAGACATAGTAACAAGTGCCACGCTACTAGGAACAAGTGCCTTACCAGTAGTAACAAGAAGCTACTAGAAACAAGTGCCACGCTAACAGTAACAAGTGCCTTACTACTAGTAACAAAAAGCTATTAGAAACAAGTGCCACGCTACTAGGAACAAGTGCCTTACCAGTAGTAACAAGAAGCTACTAGAAACAAGTGCCACGCTAACAGTAACAAGTGCCTTACTAGTAGTAACAAGAAGCTATTAGAAACAAGTGCCACGCTACTAGGAACAAGTGCCTTACTACTAGTAACAAAAAACTATTAGAATCATAATAAATATCCCAATTTGGTACCCCAGAATGGTCCTAGTTCAGGTCACTGGATACCTCTCTTGGTGAAACCGTGTTTGGTCTGGGGCCCAACGAACGAGACCGGGAGAGGCCGAGCCCGCATAAGGCATGCCGGTTGAATGCCCGACATGTGAGAGACGGATGCGAAGCGTAAAACCAGTTGTAGTCTAGATATTGATATTTAGTTCTAACAGTTCTGATGTCTTGCATGTATCTCACCAAATGGCCGGTATTTTTTTTCGTACCCCAAAAGACACGAACATGAATCATGTGAACTTCACATATCAGAGGGCATGGTACATGCATGCTGCATGTACATACTTTGTACCACTCACCATCCCCCGTCCCAGCATAGCTCCCCCGTCCCGCTCCAGCATGCTCTGCGACCCCTTGGCGTCCGAGCGTATCAGCTTGGAGGCCGTCCACAGTCACGCCCTCGCGCTTCAGCCTGTGCCCGGATCTCGGGCAGTCTGGGCCATGCAGTTGAGGCGACAGGAGGCGACTGTGGATGGATTTTGGAGGTCCCTGCAACCCTAAAGTTTCGGGAAGTAAGGTGGACAACTCTGAACAACCTTTTTGTGTCCAAATGCCTCGAAGCGACTCTGCGTGGCTTCAAGTGGGTCATCCAAGTTGGAAGATGCAAAAACTGCGCCGAGTGTGCCGCTTTTTCCACTCCAAGGCTTGTGCCAGAGAGTTCCTACAAAGACGAGAGTGACGAGAGGCAAGTACCGTACACGTCATACTACATCACACCCTCACAAAGACTGCCTGGATCCTGATAACTCATTCCACAAGATCATATTCCTCATCCGATGACCTGGTTGTCAATATGTGCTGCATCAGAAACCACTCAGTGTGTGTGTGTGTGTGTCAACCCCTGTCCCTAAGGGTTCCGATGTTTCCAAGCAGGGGGGCAGTGGACCACTATCACTCACTGCCCAACGAAGACAGTGATAGATTGGTCGTGAAGCAATGCGGGACGCCGCGTTGTGTACCTGCTGAGTTTTTCCACAAGCTGTCACCCTACTTTTCCACGGTTTGATTCATGGTTCTTCATGCTTCCACCCCCGAAACCTTGGTTTTTGTAGCTGAGTCGCGCTGTGTGATCCCCGTCACTGGGGCGCCGAAGCCATGCAGGAATTTCACTAACAGCTTCTTTCGTTTCCACCTTTCGTTGGATTCTCTTAACGGACTCCTTTTCACCACTGGATTAACTGCATTAAGAGTCGTCGGGCTTACACGACATGATACCACAGCCGCCGGGCTAAAAAACTGAATTCTTTTCCACTTGAGGCCAGGCATGTTCTCCCAACCCCCCCCCCGCCGAGTTCTACTCCCTACCTAATTAGGGCAACACAGGGAAATGGTACTCGACACACTTGTGTGTCGGTGCCTTTCCCTTTGTTGTCCCTGTTCTTGTCTTCTCTACCCGGGCGGTCTAAGACTAAAGTCCCGCTCCCTAACTATTGCACTTAATTCGCTTCTGCTAAGTAGTCAGTAACTCTAGAGTGCTAAGTAGTCATACACACACATGGACACACACATGCTACATACACCCCCTCCCTGCCCCCCCTTTCTTTCTTACGCTTTCGGTCGTTTCTTGGGCTTTCTCTCAGGCTTTTTAGGTTGTTCTTGAGGCTCGTTTCCCTGCCCCAGTCAAGGGCTAAGTATTCACCTTTTTTCTACTCCTATCTTTCTCTCTTGCCCTCTTAGCGCTGCTCTTTCTGTGTGTCTTTCTTTTGTTTCTAAGGCTTTTTAGGTATCTATTCAGGTTCACCGCGCGAGCGTCGCAAAGCGGCACCGTGTGTGTGTCAACCCCTGTCCCTAAGGGTTCCGATGTTTCCAAGCAGGGGGGCAGTGGACCACTATCACTCACTGCCCAACGAAGACAGTGATAGATTGGTCGTGAAGCAATGTGGGACGCCGCGTTGTGTACCTGCTGAGTTTTTCCACAAGCTGTCACCCTACTTTTCCACGGTTTGATTCATGGTTCTTCATGCTTCCACTCCCGAAACCTTGGTTTTTGTAGCTGAGTCGCGCTGCTCGTTCACTACCGCTGAGCTCTGCAGTCACGCGCAAACAGCTTGTTCAACCTTTCAAGTGAACTGACTTTTTCACCATGCCGTTCCCTCACCATTTTCGACCTGGGAATTGAGCTAACTGAAAACCAATGTCAGAGTGTAGCCCGCTCTTACACGCGGTTGACGAGCCTCTTTGACTTCTATCGACTTTCGAGAGCAGGGGGTCCAGGCAGTTTTGAGTTGGCCCTGGACCAACGAAGACGGACTCACAACTGGTGAAGCTAGAAGGGACGCCTTCTTGTGTACCTGCCATTTTAACTTACCGTAAAGGGCTAATGCATTGATCGATGGTGTCGCGAACTTTGCTTGGTTTTTCGATTGTTCAAGGACACACACTTAGGAGGTTCTGGGCTTTGTCATCACCCTAACGTTCCAACTTCAAGACTCATTCCCCAGTGTGTGTGTGTGTGTGCACCACTCAGTGCCAGGTCGGGTGGTTGTTTTAGACACCTCAGCCTCAGGTCAAATGCATTTTCCGGCCAATAACCACCCGATATGAGTGTTGGTGTGTGTGTGTGTGTGAGTGTCTGATTTGGTTTGGTGATTCGCACCAAATAAAGCTATATATAGTTTGTGTAGTTGGATGCTAGCTCGTGACCAAACATGTGAAACGTATGTTGTCAATGTGGGGCCGAGCTTGCAACTAGAGTCAAAGAGACTAAGTGGTGGATTGGATCAGCCCGGGTTTCGTTGCCTATAGTTTTCGTTGCCTATAATTTTAAAGTCTAAAATCAAAACATACATATACTCTATATATATATATAATCACAGAAAACCAACACAAACATAAACAGATTTTACCCTGTCTGTTGTGCTTTTTAACCGTGTTCTGTTCTTTTCAGCATTCCCTTGATACGCTAGCCCTCGCTCACCACGCGAACAACCTGAAAATCTTGAGACCTCCAAAGCCTGCAGAATACTCAACGCCATGTCAGGGCGACGTTCAACGCCTGACTATTTTCTATGTATTTGCATTTGTTTGCAAATGTTTACATGTGTCTGCATGTCTTATTATGCACTTTTGAGAGTCTTTGAGGTGGCTTGAGATTTTTAGATATATTTTGAGATGTTCAGTCTGGCAAACTATTTTGTAATTCCAAACTTGTTAACTCGGCTGTTGTGAGATGTTTTGAGATAGTTTAAGATGTTAAGTTTTGGCATGTTTAAACATATTTTGAAAAATATGTTGAAATATTTAACAGATTCTTGAAGATTCTAAAACGTTTATATGTCAACATATGTTTGAAGATTATACAATATATTCAAAAATGTTCTCTTGTTTTCAATTATATATATATATATATTACACTACTCTATGTGTTTTTCATACTTATGGTTTTTCCTTTGAAACACCATGACTGATCTAGACCACCTCCCATCTGCACCACCACTTAGCGGCAGTGATAGAGATTTCGAATCTGATCTGCCAGTTCGGCTCATGCCGGTTAAGCGCCAGTTTCAAGTTCCACAGATCAGCAGTAGATCCCAACCTCCCAGGGCCCAAAGGGTGATGATGGGCCCAGGTTTCAGGCCTTTCTCCAAAATAGTTATACATAGTTATACTAAATCTTTTAAGTTTTCCTTGCGGGATGAATGCCCCGCTTCATCACAGCACTAGTATGCCTTCGTCGCTGGATGCGTCCGTTTCTTTAAGCAGTATGACATAGTATGACCGTATGATGCAGGAACGCAGGATGTATACACCGAAAAAAGGCCCATTTACCGTTTGTGAGGGCCAAAACTTGTGGCCGCCGAAGTGTGCCAACCACCGAAGCAAGCGATGCCCATGGAGGATCCTTCATGCGACCCCGCCCTGCGGTGTTCGGGTACATCTTTACAGGGTTTCAGGATGCTTCGGGGAGGCCATTGCTATTAGAGGGAGGCCCTACAAACAAATAAATGATCTCCTCAATGAGCCTTCGAGGCCAAAGGCGCAGGACACGAAAGGCCAACGCGGGCGCATCGTGTTTCTTGAGGGCCCAGCATCAGCTTGTCGAAGGCATAATTGTGGAAGACCTTCTTGTACTGGCTGTCCTGGAAAAGAAAACTCCAATTTGTAGTAATATTAATATTTATAAGAGTCTACACTGCGACAGTTCCAACTCCAACCACATGCCGCAACCTCATTCCAAAACTGTTCAAAATCCATGGGAAGCGTGGGGGTTGGGAAGGGAGGATGCCCGATTCCAACGAGTTGAAGCGGATAACCAATTCTATTATTATTGCAACTGCCAAACCCCAGCTCAAACGGCAAACCAACAAAAAAGTCCAGTGTTTTCAAAGAGGTTGTTCGGCTGAAGGGCCAAGATGAAACCAATATAAAATAGAAAACTGATAGAAAGCTATGTTCATGTTCTCTCAGCGGTTCTCCAAAGATGCCCCCAGGCTGGGGAAGCCACCCTGGATCACATGCTTCAGACCGGAATGCTATTGGCATCCTGTCCATGATTGCGGTCTGCGAACGGAGATAGCAACCACATGGGACCACGCATTCGACCCATACTATGCCACAATGTCCTTGAAACACCTGTACCAGGACGACCCGGGGCGGTTGATGGACACCCCGAATCAACTCGAACGGGAAGCCCACCGAACAGCACGGTGACCCCTTCAAGCGCCCGGGTCGGTATACCGGGTCCGGGCCGTCCTCGAAGTAGGAGTGAAACTTCCGCTGGATCAAGCCTGGAGGAAGGCTGACTGGTCTGGTGGTGGATGGGGGGGATCGATCATGAAACATGATCCCATTTTTGCCCAGGGCTCAGTCATGGTCATAGTCCCTCGATTTGAGATTTCAGTCTTCCCAACGGGTGAACTTCAAAATGTGTCACCCATCCATCCTTCTGAACCAGAATGCTACTTTTACTCCTCCAGGTCCTCCATGTCCTATCCCTAGAGCTCCAGTCGTACCTTCGTGAAACGAAGGTGGGACTGGGGTGGGTGCCAGGAGGCCAGCCGTACTGAACCTCAGGAGGTGCGCCAGGTTCGCCCTGCCCAAACGCTCATGGGCCCTCACATGGAGGGGTCTCAAATCCCTAGGTTTTTGAGGGACCGGTCGGGCTGTTTGGAGCGTCCGGGTAGGGTATTTCTTTTGGGGATGATTCATCCACCAACTTCCGTATACTTGGCATGGCCCCCCCCAAAGAACAGGCCCGGCACCCCATCATCGGTCTGCCGTGGCGCCAGAATTCACCGTGATCGGACGTGACTCCACTGTGACGCCGACGGGCCCGGCCGATCGGCTAGGACCGGGTTCCGTCACGGTGCCTGCGGCAGGGCCCACGTTGTCGACCAAAAGCATCGGTCCTGGAAGGGCCGTGAAGCAACGGAAGAGGCGCGTCGACGAGCATCGCACGTCTTGAAAACTTCTTTGGGTCCCGAAACGTGGATCCGGCAGAACCCGGCTCTCCGCAGGGGTCTGGACCCTCAAAACCCGTGCTTGAGGGCCCGGATTCTTATTATAGGGTTGGATGAAATGATAGAATTGATGCGGATGGCGGATCTGGGTCGCCTTTTGATTGAGAACGAACAGCACCCAAAAGCAGAATGAACCTTCAGAATAAACGCTGCAGCATACCCCAGCAAGTACACCTGCATTCAATTCCTATACATGACCTTCCAGCCCAATTGCTATTTTCTTTCGAATTTTAAGACACCATCAGGCAGTGCATGTCACCCCTCAACCAAAACACCGCCCCACTCCGCCCACCGCTCGGCTGGACACCGCTCTGCTTGACCCGCTCGGCTTTCCGCTCGGCATCCGATCTCTCCTTGGCCGAAGTCCACATCATCACCGCAAAAGGCCGTGGCACAAACCACCCGCCCCGTGTGGCAAGGCGTCTGCCCGCGGCGACCTCGATGCCAAACGAAAAAGGGAAGGCTGAACGACCCAAAAAAATTCACCAAATCCAGTGGTGGTGTATGTGGTTTGTTATGGTTTCTCAGTGGTTTGTTGTGGTTTGTTATGCTTTGTTTATCAGCATATACCCTCATAATCCCTCATAGCAGAAATTTGTCCAAAGAAGTACAGGCTGCTTCTTGCCCAAATCGTTGTGGGAGGGAACAGTGAAGCTTTAGATGAAGGCATGGCCAAACTCAGTCTTAAAGAAAAAACCTCTGTCAACACTCGCCAGGACTCACACCGAGCCCTAGTGGCCAGCCGCACCCTGCCGCCCAGCGCCCAGCCGGCCGGTCGGCAGTGCCGACGCGATCAAACGCCCTAGGATCCCAAACCAGGTCGCACCTGCGGTTTGGGCCGGCTGATCCCGCGAGTGAGTCTTAAGGGATGTAGGATGATGTAGGAGGGATCAATTTTTGCGGCTTCTCAAATGGTTGAGTTGTCATTTTTTGGATGCATGGGAGATTGATCTACCAGGCCATGTTCACCCCAAACCTCTTTGAATTGACGTCTAGGAAGGCCTATGAAGCCCCGGCATGAATCGATACTTCCGTTTCTTCTCATGCAACGTCTGACCGCACTAGACGTCTCAATGCACCAAGCATGGCACCACCAGCATGGCGCCATTGCCGTTACACTCTGACGAACACATCACATGGAAATGGACCATGGCCTTCGGGAAGACGACTTTCCTTGACAAACATGGCTTTTGTCCACTTCCATGCGTGATGTGTTCCTCGGAGCGTGATTCGTGATTCGTGGCCGAAGCATGACCGCTGCTTCCAACTGTTGACCTTCTTCCACCTGTTCACGTGTATGGAGGAAAGCCATGTCCCAAAAAAGGTGAAGGGACTGGTGAAGGGTCATCCAATCACTGGGTAGGTCGGGGTCTAGGCTTTGTCAGCTTTGTCTCATCTGGACTCCATCGACTCCAGCCATTCCAGCACTGTCAAAGCCACTGGATCCCGGCAACTCCGATCTCCACCCGATGCATACGCATCCCTGGGCCCTCCCCCCCCAAAAAAAGAGCGAACAGCATCCAATCGTTCCACCCCCCCTTCACCACACCACCGATCCCATCCGTCGACCGATCTCGACCTCGGCCGTCTCGGTGTCCCACGCGTGCACTCGATCGCCCAACCTGCCAGGTCGGACGAACTGGCTGGGGGACCAGGTCCGGCGCCGGCCGTACGGACGTGTTTCCTCGGGTCCTCTTTGTCCCGGGATCTGCAGACCACCCTGTGAGGTACGGTGGATTGAAGAGACTGCTACATGTAGGCGCCAGCTAGGGTCCAAGTACCTTCTGAGAAGGCACTTGGAGCCGTATACTTCCCATGGTATAGTGGTCTTCGTTTTTGAAGCGACTCAGTGGTTTTGGGGCTGGTTTCCAAGGGGCTTCAAGGGTGTATATGGGGATCGCTGATTCTGAGCCAGCGTTCCTCAATGTTTGGAGCTTATGGGCATTGAGAAGTCTTGGAACGGCACCAGGATTCACAAGACGGTGTGCCGAGCTTGGATGATAGGGGGGCCCCTATCACATCCACGGCCCCTGGATGGGACTCAAAAGCACCCCGACCTGTGACTCCTGGTGTGTATAGGCTAGATCTATGCCCAAGACAAATCCGAAGCCCTTCAAGGGGAGGTGCTGGACAATTACATAATTTTTCGTTGGAAGGATTTCGAGTGGCCGATCCCCGGTCGTTGAGGTTTCAAGCATTTCAAGCAAATGACGAGAACGTACCAACAGTCACAAAGGGGTGCTTAATGGAGGTTTGGGGTGCCCATTATCCACTCACTTAGGGACCCTTAGGGACTAAACACCACCCCTTTGTGACTCCTTGTGCTTATTTTAACTAAGAAGGTGTAAAACTTGCTTCTGAACAGAACTTGCATCATAGGATGTGTTTGATCTTTCAGCACAGCTCATCCAGATCAACGGGAAACCACAGAAATGAGCCCTCGTTCCCTCTGTGGCCTACTCTGATCACTTGTAAACTATTCGCCACCTTTTTCAACAGCTGGGCACTGTGCGCTCGGATGGGCGCTAATGATCGGGGCTGGCGAGAGCTAGCCGCTAGCCAAACTGAGCAGCTTCAAATGGGCATTGCTCTCCAATAGCTCGGAACATTTCAAGAATCTTACACCAGTTCTGACTACCCTGAGCTAAAGAGGCACCACCAGCAGTTGCCAAAGGAAGATTCCACTTCTTACTTTAGAAATGACAAGCAAACACTCTTCAGTAGTAGCAGGCTTAATCGAGTGATTTCCCCCTCCAATTCTCGCACACCTCATCCAAACCATGGGCATGTAGAACCTGTAGAGGCCCCCACTCACGAGGCCATTTTTCACCTCTCTTTGGTTCGTCTGGCTCTTCACTATTCTTTGGATCATCAGCTGCATTGCTGCTGACCTTCTGTGGCTGAAGATGAATCGACAGAGAAACTCAAAGTTGATGTCAAAACTCTCTCTCAAAGTCTTGGTCTGTTTGTGGGTTACAGTATTTTGAGACTAGATGGTAGGGGTTGGTATGTTGGGGGCATATCCCATCACCAGCAACAGTATGATGTTGGACACCCCCCCTCTATATATATACAAAGAGAGAGAGAGAGAGAGAGAAAAAAAAAAAGAGAGAGAGAGAGAGAGTCCCAGGCAAATAACATCGGCTTCTGAATTCTTCTTGGTCTCTAGACTGCCCTGGCTCAGGACATGTCAGCAAAGCTCTGACCTACACAGCTCAACACGCCAGCCGCAGGCGCCGTGCGCCGGCCCGCCAACGTCCCCAGCTTCATCTGGTGAGTTGGCGGCCGAGAGCCGCGGCTCCGCACCCCGTCAGGCGCTCCCCGGTTTGATGGGAGTGGTTTCATGGAGCACCATCTCTGAGGTCCAAAAAGTGACCGCAGAATCATGGGGTGTGTCTAAAACATCGGATGAAAAAGGATGAAAAAGGAACATTTTCCTGACCCTAATCCGGGCCCTGCAAGATGTCACTCCTGAATGCCTGGTGAAGAATCCGGTCATCGACAGGGAATGTGTGCCTGTGCCATTGCATTCTCTACAAACTGGGTCTTTGGACTTGTTGGGATTGTATTGCATGGTGTAGGCAAGGTGCTTCGATTCACGCAAGTCTCACCTTCGCGGATACCTGTTCCAACCAACCACACCTGTTTCCCACCTGCCAGAAAGGGAGTTGGTCCAATTTCATGGCTATTTGGATGTCTCCCCAAGCCATCAACAAGCTAGACCCTATCAACAACATGCTTGTGGTCTCTTCTTGTACCTGTTTTGAACAATTGGTGCGTTCTCGGTGTCCCCCTGTATGGCCAGATCTCGTCACATGTGCGGGTCCCAACTGGGCTCTCCAACGCCAGGTGCAAAACCGGATTCATCGACGGCTCATGCCCTGGTAAACGGAAAAACATGCTGGTAACACAAATGGGGCTAGTTTAACACGTCCTTCCCGGAACCTTTTTGGGGCACTGAAACCTCCGGGTGTACCCGAACAAATCCTGCGAGGGTGCGAGGTGAGCCACGGAAAAGGTTGGGAGCGAACTGGGCGGTGTTTGCCACAGGCTCCAACGAAACAAACGTCCGGCGAGAGAGAGTGACGTCAACGTGCCCCCCGGGGGGCTGCGGCTAAGAGTAACCGACTCCATGCGAACTGGGTTGGGTGTGTCTGCCTTGTTCCTCTCTCCCTTTCGCTTTACACATCTTTTCGCCGTCATTGTTTGGATCCTTTCCGTCCCGGAACGGTGCTCGGACCTGCAGGCGCCGCATGCGGTTCCAAGCGACGGAGTTAGACCTCCCCGGAAGCAGCCGCCCCTGATTCGCTTCGAGGTCATTTAAAGATCATTTTACGTAGACTCATGATTTATAAATACTATAGGCTTCACAATCCAAATGGGAGTTATGGGTGAGCTGGCTGTCGTGGTCCGTGGTCGGGGTGTTATGGTCCTTGATGACGTGGAGGCACCGCCGCCTGGGGGCGCACATGGTCCGTTCCATTCCTCTAGGGCTCCAAGTACCTCCTGGAAAGGTATTTGAAGATATTTGGACCCTCTAAACCCACCCCAAACACCGAAACGAAGGCTCTTCGGAGAACACCAGTCACTTTGCGGAGGAACTGTTGTGCCACACAGGCCGGAAAAACTGGACCAGCCACTTCGCTTCCGTCGACTCTTTGCGGCGTGCAAAAACACCACCGGCAACCTTCCTGGGAACTTGACGGATAGTCCACCCTCTGAAGGCCGTGTTGACAGGGAGTACTTGTTACTTGTTTTGACAGGCCGTGCGATAGAATTCGCAAGAATGGAGGGCTTTGATGTGACTATAGTCTGCTCAACTGGCTTCTAGTCATGTTTTCTTGAACGCTCCAGTGCAGACTTGACGTGCAGGATCAAAGCCTCAATCAATGGACTTCAGCCAAAGGCTACCTTTTTTGTCAGCTCCGGCCACTAATGAAAATCACCAGTGGCTTATGAAGCATTGTGCACTGTAGCTCTTTTCCTGCGCCTGGGGGGAACCTTCCGGCTTGTGACTCGCCACCGATCAAAGGTCTACAGCCTGTCTCCTGTAAGCCACACAACAGTAGATGGTCAAAGGCCGTTCCTTTAGTTCAGCGGTGCATCATATATATTTCTCAGTGATCTCAAGACGGGGTTCAATCAAGTGTGTCCGCGTTGAGCATTTTGCATTTGCCCTTGTCCCACAGTGTACATGCTCAACCCACCTGTACCCGTCACATCAGGTGACAAGGGGCGGTGTAGGCGCGTCGAACCGCAAGTCCGTGCATCCAAATGGGGGGCGTTAGTAATCAAGCGTCTACATAATATTGTAGTGAAGACAAAAATCACCAGAACGCCATCATCCCTGCGCCTACCGTCCGGCGAGCGCAGCCATCGGATCCAAATCTGCTGGGGCAGCGCCTACGGCGGCGCCATGAGATCCAAACAAACCACAGCCCAAATGGGGTCCCCGATCAACAATGGCTCTAGGATTACAAACCACTACAACGCCAAATAAGATACAATATGAATTAAGAAAACACATTGAACATTACATAATTATATAATTATAAGGGTCTTGGAAAGGCCGTGGCCAAGGTGTGTAGAAGTGTTCAAGAGGGTGGGTGGCCTGGATTCTCAAGGTCTTTGACGGAATGGTCGCTGGATGCAACAGGAAAAGCATGGAACATTCCGTCAAACATTCCGCACTCAGGTTCTAAAGGATATTATATATGGTCGGCTTCGAAAGATCGTGCCAGCCCCATGTCAGTCGCACTAACACACCCCGATGGCATCGATGGTGATTGCCATCAGGATTTACCGAGGAAAGGGATGAATGTGTCTGTGTGGTTCCTTCTCTTTCATCTCATTGTGCATCTGTTTGCAAGGCAGCTCCCATCCTGGTGGAGGGAGCTGTTTCACCTCTTCTGGGCTTATGTTTGAAGATCTGTGTGAGGGTCCTGCTGAGGGTCCTGCTGTCCCCCCCAAGGTTGCAAAGCTACACTCCCGAAAACTAACATAGACCCTGACAATGGTCCCATGGAAGACTATTTTCCTCTACCAACCAGGGGTTTAGTCTTCCAAGGTGTATCTTTCTTCCCGGATTTTGTGGGAAATTCCTCCGTCACTCTTGGGCTGCTGTCTGACGGCGATGTACCACGCTGCTGTCTGGTCACAAGTTCTATGGACTCCATCCTGGGCTGCCAAGCTTCTCTGCCTCCAACCTAATAGCGACGGCCTCCAACCTAGTAGCTTCTTGTTAGTAGTAATGGCCTCCAACCTAATAGCGATGGCGATGGCCTCTCAATTTACCTTCCAACGCGGCAACCCAAGAATTTCCAAAGGACACCCCCTTCCAAATAGATAGAAAAGTAGATCCCCCACTCAAAATGTATATTGGAAGCCGTGCCACTATCTATTTGAAGACCACCCAGTAGCCCATGTTCTTTCGAAGCCCATGTCGGATGATCACCCAGTAGCTCAGTACATCCAATCGTATACAGTATACGACTCACCTTTCGTACCATGGAAGTGGAAAAAACCGTAGTCTTTGTATACCGTAACCGTTCGTCTTCTAGGGCTCCAGTCGTACAGTACCCTCAGAAGGTACGACTGGACCCTCCTGGCACCCACCCCAGTC